CTCAAAAGCAGGGCGGGGCGGGGAGTGGGCCTGGCTGTGTCACGGTCACAGTCCAGACTGATGAGGATGCCCTCCCTTCCAGGATCCCTGTGGGCTGTTTCACATGTTTCTAAGGCTACACATGCACAACAGTATATCAGCATTTACATTGTTAGGAGCAGGTTCTCTGTCCTGTATTTATCTCAGAGAAAAAAATGAGTGCTTCAGATTTTGAAAGTGTATAACCTTTTATACTTTTGGAGATTGAGCTTTAAGAGGCCCTGGAAATACTTTTAATTTTTTTAAACTTAAAGTGATTGAATTGCTTTTCTCGTTGACTAAATTAAAAGATGTTTGAAAACTCGGTAGTAAAAGAAGTTCATGAGACCTATTGTCAAATATGTACTGTGCCTGTTCGTATACAGTCATTCAAGATACGAACAGAGCAGGAACGTTTCAACAGTGAAGATGACTTACCAAAGCATTCCCTGTTTTCTCACCTTGAAAACGCAGACTGTTGGTTCCCTCGTTTAGGCAGTTGCTAAATTTTGTAATTTCAGGCTGATAGGCTCATCTGGAAATTGTAAGTTTTATGTTTTGTTCCAGTACGTGCAGTCTTTGATATTTTAAATTTTAACTCCTGTGGTGCGTTACAGTAACCTCCTTTTTGAAGTCTCTCTTTTGTGCTTTAATTTTCTGTCTTTGTGTTCTTCCAACAATTGAGATATATGAGATGTTACTATTATAAATTATTGCTGAGAACTTAAATGTCTATAACTTATAGAAATGATAAATAAAAAGGAAATTCCAGCCAGGCCTTTGTGTTCTGTCTGTTGCTGTGCATGAGGCCAGGTGCTCTGCTGGCTCCTCAGGAGTCAGTCCAACTCCCACCTACCAAAGTCCAGGCCCCTCGCTGAATCCAGAGACTGGGGTGTGGGGATTCCAGGAGTGCAGCATAGAGCAGGACCGAACACTTGCACCCAGGGCAGGTCTGCCTCTGGGTTCCCGAGGGATCAGGGCTCAGCATGCAACTGGAGGTGAGGCAAGGAAGTGGCATGCCCATCTTTTCCCTCCTGGATGTCCCGGGTGCACGTATCCTCACTCCCACCAGGAGGTTTGACTTTTAGATGGAATCGTAGCTTGTCCCCCCTCGGACAAGGAACTGAGATCCCTGAAGAGGAAGGACCTGTCCCAGGAATGCTTGTTCCCAGGCTGATGCTTTGGCTAAATGTCCCAGAAGAAGTCCAGGATCCTTTCATTGGTGCTATACCTGGCTCATTTTACTTGCCTTTTCTTTGCCTAGGCAGGTTACATCAGAATTTCTAAAGGCCATAGGCCAACACAGCTCTCTGTATTGTCTATTATTTAAATGATTGTCTAGATACTGTTTTTATTCAACCATCAACCAGTTGAAAAAAGAACACCAGCCTTAGTAAGTAGAGAGGAAAAAGAAGTTTTATTCTAGAGGAGAGCATTTTAAACGTTAAATATGCTTTGGATTGAGGCCACGAATGGGTAGTGAGGCATTGCCTGATGTGGGAATGCAGGAGAGGACCAGGCACAGCACTTCAGTAGCAACCCGCTGAGCAGATGAGGCCGAGAGCCTGGATTTTTGTCACAGTCCAGCTGGTTGACATGGCAGTCATTACTCTTCACAACAAGATGGAGACCAGGTCTGTGTCAAGATACAAGTGGCAGTCCTGTTCCAAACAGAACCCAGGATCTCCCTCTCCCTGGTGACCTTGTGGGCTCAAAGCTGAAACTAACTCGCCGGTGAGCATTCGAAATCA